TGAAACTAAGCAGTTCATGGCATACACGTTTTAAAAAATCTTTGAGAACAAAATATGTGAAGTTGGCAAATTCTTGACAAAATTAAAGACTCAACTTTTCAATAACTTTATTCGATTCATTACACTTGCGTTTAAAATTCAGAGAAAATTCATGCTCTCTTACATGTTTCATCCCACAGCAATGAATAAAATGTATTTTACGCATCGGCCATTCCCCAGTTTCTTTACACAACCAGGTCTATTAATTTTTAAGTTCCGTAAATAATAGCGTGAGTAATAAATAATTTTCCAGACATGTTTAGAACCATTCCAGCAAGCGGGTTTCCAATTAATGTTAAACTTCAAGATTCATTAACTCTTACTACAAAACTCATAATTTGAAGATTGTTTATGGGAGATTCAGTTGTCACATATAATCAATGTATTCTACTGGTTAATGTAAGTCATCTAGAGTAATACAGGTTTCCGCAATTTTTCGAAGACAAACCCAAGAGCAATTTCGAGGTGTTAAAGCAACACTCAATTACACTAATTACTACGTATCTGAATTTAAATACCTTATATTTTATAATGTTGGAAAATTATTTGTAATTGCTAAAAAGTATATCACAGCAAACTTACGGCAATTTCTAGTTGCTTATCTAGTTCTCCTTTAAACCCAGTCGGCCGCTCAGTTTTCCCATCTAGCAAACAAAATGCTAGTGTAATGGCAATTCGTTTCAGCGAAATAAAAAAATTAATAATATCAGTGATATTCATCATTTCTTTTGCAATAAGAATATCCGTCGAAACTCCAGTGTTAACAATGGTTTCATCTCATCCTATCGCGGTGAAATTTTCACGTTGTTTATCTGGGAAGAAGTCAATTATACTCTCAGCAATGTCTTTTCTAATTCCAGATATTAGTTTTACATGACCTAAAAGCTCTGAATTTGTTTCTTCTTTTAACGAAACGTAGCAGTAATAACAAAATTTATTCCTATGCAGTAAATTTTAAAATTTGTAATAAAAATTGTAAAACTTAGAACTTTTCTTTTTTTGTAGAATTGTCTTGTCTTTTCTTCCATCGAAATACAATCCTCTATTTTCGGTTATGGTGCATTGGCTGTCTATAATGCATTTTTGACCATTCATCCTCATATCTGTCTCGCCTAATTTTCATTCTGTCAATGACTAGGCTTTTCTCATCGTTATTTATAAAACCCAAGTCCTGCACTGCAGTGCTTGATATTTGTGCTGCATCTCCCATATTCCTGTGCAATCATATATGAAAGCACCAGACGGCAGACTAATTTGAACAACTCGTGTTTTAATATCTTCTTGGCTGTAGAATGCCAAATGTGTCTCTTTTTGTAACTCTTTTAATCATTATCACAGATTTTCTTTCACCTCTTGTTCATCTTAAGTGGACATCGTGGATTTTATTGTATTTTCGATTTTTATTTATTTATTCAACGTACGTCGGGAACACTACTTCACTTAAACCAATAAACTTTCAACATTTGGACATTCCACTATTCACCTGATTGTAATAACACAACAGAGTAACACCACAAAGTAATTGTTTCAGAGCCATATGGTCGACAATAGTATTTCCAACAATATACTCACCCTCAAAACAATTGTATCACTTAAACTGGCTTAACTAAGTGTACTGCAGCCAGGGATTGACGCCTATCACACGAAAAGTACTTTCTCGACCCCTCAAGTACTTCTCTCTTCCCAATGTCTCCCTCCATTACAAATCATTGTCTTTTCTTTTATTATTTTTTAAGAACTATTTCAACATTCGTAATGTTCCTTCCATACACAACTGTTATCTACAACGACAGATACAGGTTGTAATTTGTGAATATCCTTATATAGTATTAGTAACTTGAGACCGTGCGACCTCACGGTTCGACCCCATCATATCCACCAGTCCAGACAAATGAGGTGTCGTTCTGGGTCTTCTGGTGGGCAACAAATGATTTGTTTGCCAATCCATCCAGACGATTCAAAGATTTTTTCCACAAACTTGTGTTTCTGCGTTTTTTAGCATAGCGATTTTAGCGATGGCCGCGCGAATAACCTCTGTTGCTTCCCACGGGCAGCTGTGATGACAGCTAAACGAGACGCCAGTGAGGTCCAGATGATGAAATGACAGGTCTCTAGAGATTGTATCGCTCGGATGTCGAGGTTTCCAGTATTCGGTGCAAGATTAGAATCATTCGAAAGGAAAAGGCTCCTCATCAGTGTTGCCACCCTGTATGATAATTATCAATTATAGGGGTAAAATTATATGTCGCATGTTAATTAGTCTATGGCAAGTCTATTTTATGTACCAAAACTAAAATAAAATTTACAAATATGAGAATTACATGAACTCACGACAGCGTGTACTTTGTGCAAATAGCATGTAGCGTTAAAAATGTGGGGCCGGTTCTATTTTCGATAAACTCTGTATTTTCGAAAATAGCAAAAAACTAACATAGCAAAAGGGCAATATTAAAGGTAGATTGTTTATCCATGTTCAATATGGAATCTATTTGATGAAACGAACAGTTCAATTACAGTCAGGGCCTGGTCGTGAGATTTGGAATATCAATATGAAGCTGATTTCACTTTCAAACTAACGATATTCGTTTTGAATGTTGTGGCTATTTACCAAATAATGACAAAGTGAGGATTATTCACACGGTTTCATCTATTCGACATCTCCTCAAAGTGTTTCTCAATCCAAATTAAAATACTACATAAGAATAAGAGGCATGTTGCCGGTATTATATAGTTCTAGATGACGCAGTGCCATAGAGGTCCTAGGGATTAGTATAAACGGTTCATCATTCTCATCTTATCAGAAGATTCTAATGTCTCAGGTGATTTCCCAACGTCACCTAAGTTCTAATTATTTTTGTTAAAAAAGGATTAATACCTTACAGTATATGTATGAACAAACTATGATGACCCCTAATGATATTGAAATACAATATAATAAAAGTAATGACAACATGAACTATAATCTATAATTTAAAATTTTAATATTAAAATATATTTACATATCTACACTACTATTTTACGACTCGCGCAAAAATTGAAAGGAAACCAATATGCCCTTGCGTCGGTGGTTTTGTTTGATACTCAGGAACTCGAGAAAAATCCGAAAGCAATGAAAGTGTTTCGCCTTCGTCTGAAAAATGCAAATAGTTTATTAAGTTATTCCGTGCTGACCCATCCTGCGTGTTGCGACTCGACTCTTTTCTCTTACTCAGTGTGTCACTGCTTACGACATAGCTGACGCGATGCGACAGCGAGACTCCAAGAGAGTCCGCCAGGTATTAAATATTTGCTTTTAACGTGTTGCTTTATGGAACATCAACATTTATAATATTCTCGATATGTAAAGAATTGTGTTAATATATACAATAGATGATATCATTTTTTGCAAAGAATGCCATGTTAAAATATTAATGTGGTTTTAGGTGGTTTTGTTCGGTAGCATTTTCCCGCTGCTCGGCACTTGTTCGTGAACGAATATTTTTTTTTCTCTTTAAGTGCTGGAGCCCTAAGCCTGTCCTTAGTTTTCTTATTCGTTAACCCATCCCTGGACAAAACGGATCATTCAGTGGCAATGACGCGTCGAATAGCATAAAATTCCAAAGAATCCAATGAGCATTTATTTAATACGTCTAAATTCAAGTCAAACAAGATGTAATATGATTACTTTCAAATTTACAGAAGAGTTAAATTGATATCTTAGTTTTCCACTATTTTTAAACTCAGCGTCAAGGAATTGGAAGGCAAAGCCGCCACTTCATCATCTTTAAATACATTTAGAAGAGAAAAGACTGAAAATCGGAGGAAAAAATTATTTTACTCGGTAAATTAAACATGTAATGTTCTGGGGATGACAGCAAATCTTTACAGCGCAACAAACACAAAGGCGCTTGCATTGAATTTCATGTCAAAAGACATTTTATACTACTCATTTTCCTTAAAGGTATTTCATCGTTATTTTTTTCTGTCAGGAGTAAACAGTAAGTAAATGTCATTTCCATACAGTCTTCGAGAGCCATAAATATGCGAAGTGAAATTAAAGTGTTCTTACTCTTCTGAATTCCTCTCTCCTACCCTAGAATAATTACAAAAAGAAAGTATAATTTAGAATCCGTTTTCCTAATCACACTTCCTCCAAAAAAATTGCTCTTTTTATCATTCTTGTATACTCCGTACCAGGAAAGTTACGAAGCGATGGAATAAATGTGAAGAGCCTACTCAGAAATAGTCATGTCCCACTTAGTTTTGAGATATGTGCATTTTAATGTTTAGCGCAGTACTATTAATCAGCCTCTAGCAAATTGGCAATGTTTCTTCTGAGAGTTCCACATATTTGTACGTAGGTCATCCAAGAAGTTTCCTTATTTCGTTCTCTGCAAACCACTTGGTTTAAAGATAGTACGTGGAGAATCTTGAGGCTAGATCAATAAAAATCTGTTTTTTTTTACAAAGCCAACGTTTTGGCCATTTATTTGGCCTGCTTCAGGACTAAAATATACAATAAATATGTAAGATTGATAAATATACTGTAAATTTATTGTATATTTATAGCCCTGAAGCAAGCCAAATAAGTGGCCGAAACGTTGGCCCTAAAAAACAAACTTATTGATCTACTCTCACGATTCTCCCCAAATATGTATAATACTAGACCACGATCAACAAAACAACCACGGGGTTGACACTCAAGTTGGTACTCTAGAATCATTCGTTGCGGGTACGGTGGCAGCGCGTAACCTTCAACAGCACGCGACTCTTCCGCGTTCGCCTGTACGGCACTTTCTGTCATGGAGCTATCACTTGAAAGAGTGTCCGCTTGTGAATTCCGTTGTTATCCACTTTTTCATTGCGAGAAATGAAAACTGCTATCGATATTTATCACCTGTTAGTATTTGTTCATGGTGAAGGATGTATGATCATCCAAATGCTTCGCGGCTGGCATTTATGGATCCTGGGAGGACGGCAAAATGCGCATAAAGACGAGCGTAGCGGCAAGCCGTTACTTCTGCAGACAATGCGGCTACTGTTGCAGACAAGCCGTTACAGCTACAGACAACGCGGCTACTGTTGCAGTTCGGAATATGGTGGACGAAGAACACTTCCGCATTGTGGGCGTAATAATGCCTTCTGGCATGGGGCATGCAATTCCCTGCCTCCTGGCATGGGAATTGGACGCTCCTCTATTGGGACGACCCTGTCAGATATCTTGCATTATCGAAACGTTTGTGCAAGATCGGTCCCACGTTTAAAGTTTGACGTTTCGTGTTTGTGTTACGTTTCGACGTTAGTTTCGTCACAAGTCACGACGGATCGAGGCGGCGCGAGCTTTTCTGCAAATGCATCGCAGAGAGGGTGATCAACTGATTTCCCACCTTGTCACTGGAGATAAAAGCTGTATGTATCATTTAACTCAAGAAACAAAAGAATAAATCCAAAAACTCCACAAACAAAGAGCATCCAAAAGGAAAGTAATATCAATTTTAACAATGACATTTAATATATTATTTACCATTTGGATTGTATAATTCTGAAGAACCTGTAACAAGTATCGTACTTCAGTTTCTGGGTCAATGACCCCCATCTCGATCAGGTTTTTGTCCAGTTTCCCTGAGCAAATGCTGAGTTGTGCCCTTGTTTTGCTTCTGCATATAAATGTAACTTCAAATTAACTTCTCCTCATAGCACGTCACACACAGTTTTTAACTTTTTTGACGTAAATAAAATTGAAGAAAATAAAACGACAAGAAACCTGGCTAACGTATACCAAAAAGGCCAAGACATCCGCCTCTGCATGCAAAGTTACGGCTAGATTGTTTAGGGTAGTTAGTAAGGAAGATTAACTGATTGACTACCTGCTCGAACGCACTGCGGTCACAACTACAGGTATTGCATGGTCCTTACGAACCTCAGAGCTGCAATCTAACTAAAACCTCCCGGTGTTCTGTCTCAGAAAGTGTCGCTCTTTTCATGACAAGGCGCTGCCCCATGCAGCTCGAAGGACCCAGGATTTGCTGGAGAACTTTAAACGGGACCTTTTTCATCTTATCCAAACGGGACCGACCCTCTTAAGAGGATCGTGCCCCCAGTGATTTCTACTATCTCGCTTTTTACAACTCAAGATGCACCATGGAGGTAAGCGATTTGCGACTGATGAAGAGGCGGAAGAGATGAACCACTGGCTAAAGTGATACGACGTAACCTGGAATAACGAAGGTATCAAAAAATTGCTCCCAAGCTACCGAAAGCGTTTGTACAGAAATGGTAACTATGTGAATAAATAGTATAAACGTTGAAGTCTGAAAATAGTTTCTTGAGTGTAAATAATTCGCTTGTATTTTGTATAGAATAGGGAAACTTTTTTATTATATGACGCTCGTATGTACTTAACATAAACTGTATTAAACTAGCGACCGTTTTTATCTAATATTTCTATTCATTTTTCATTGGAACGCTTGAAAAACTATAGTGTGTAGCATGTGACAGAATCTGAATGAAAAACTTGAATATCGGGAGGACGTTTTTGGTTGTAAAACACTCAGATATTGGCATTTATTGTACATTTCTTAAGCAATACAATGAATATCAAGAGGGAAAAAAACAAAGCTCTTCCACTTCCCCGTTGCTGAGTTCAGTACGACTTACAGAAGAAGTGCTGATGAGCTGGGGAAATATAGGGCATCATAGAAAGCACGCCATCAAACTTGTTTTGTTTTATGGATATTGCGGATATTGGTATCTTATACTTAATGAACTTAAATTGATCACGTTGTCTGGGACGACCTCTTACCTTTCTTGGAATAGAAACAATAAAATTGGTCACATGTAGAATATCCATGCTTTATTTCAAATTGCAATGGATTCGAGGATTGACAGCGGAATTGTATAGTGGCAATAAATTGCAACCCCCGGCCGTTTGTAAACTTCTTTGGAATGTGTCAATTCCAGGTACCTTGGGAATATAAACTGACGATTTTAAATCATCCCGTTTCATTGTTGTAACTATAAAGTTCTTTGGTCCTGTAGATGAGACAAATTCAATTCACACATCAGATGTGTACACGATTGGACGTCTTGTTTTGGCGTACTGATCAATGCGACCAAAGTCCCCATCACAAGGTAGTCGCGTGTGACCTACCAAATGAAATGAATGCTTCATAAACTCAAATCTTTCTGTAACGACTAAAAATATTACAAAGGTAATGACAGAGAAGTTCTTAGCCTGTCCAGCACAGTGATAATATGAAGCTGTTTGGCCAAGGGATTTGCTATGTTCAAATATTTTAAATGACAACTTCCGACTCGTCCAGCTACAATTTCGTTCTTCATAAAGATGTAACCTTTCCCTGATGCATAATCGTGAATGCAGAATTTATTTTTGTCAAAATATTAGTAACTTTTCGATAATTCGACATCGTTTTATTAAATGAGATTATTTTGCAAATTATTTCTTATTAGTATGATTATTTTGCAACATCACAGAGGTCGACTTGCTTGTTAAGACTAATCAACAAAACTTGTTCATCTTCAAAGAGAAAACTGCTTACAGTATAATAATAACGGAATTCTCGATTAGAATGAACATGTTTTATAGTACATGTATAACATACCTCAGAATGCAAATCTGCAAACCGTATGTTTTCTCTGTTATTAAGGGAGTGTATTATTTTAAACAGAGAATCGCAAAATAATTGCCAAACCATGAATATTTGGAAAATACTCATCATAAATGTCGACGGAAAAGGGAATAAAAGTTGTTTCAGAAAAAAAATTAATCACAATGATTAAAGGAATAACACTGAAATCGTCCAAACGCGTGGTGTAGAAAACAATCTTTTCCCCCATAGGTCACATAGTTTTTACTGGTTTGTTTACTAAATAAATCTAAATTTAAATATTTTAATTCAAGATAATCGTCAATCGTATTTATAGTTCTATAAATTAACAGAAGCATTGAGATAATTTACATTGTTGTACAAGTTTTCTTATCTTCTTCTTCTTCTTCACTTCATGGATTAGGCTACTGCCTGTTCCGTCCTCACAGTTTCTCTCCATCGTTTTCGTGGCCTTCCCACGTCTCTTCTTCCTCTCGCCGCGTATAACAAAGCTGCTTTGGGAAGTCTGCTATCACTCATCCTTTCCACTTGTTCTATCCATCTTTGTCTATATTCTTGCATTCTAGTATTAATTGATGTCACTTGTAACTCTTTTCTTATTTCTTCATTTCTTATTCGGTCCTCTCTTGTGCATCCTTTTATTCTTCGCAGAAATTTCATTTCACTACTTTGTATTGTTGTCAATGTTTTTTGTGTTAATACCCAGCTTTCGCAGCCGTAGAGTAATGTAGGAACTGCCTTGGTATTGTACAATTTAATTCTTGTTTCCGGTCTTATTTTTTTAAGTGTTGTGTATCGTTCCACATACTTTTTGATATTTCGTTAATTTATTGTCAATATCTTTATCTTTTTCATAACTTATTTTACACCCTAAATAATTAAAGGAGAAGTTTTCTTATAAGAAATGTATCTCACCATTAACGATTGAACATTAATGAGAACCTTGTAATAAGCGATGTTACTCAAGAAAAATGGTAGGCAGCAGGTATTGCGTCTTTTTGCTAAACGTACAAACTTTGTAAATTGCACGTACAACTACCGCTGCGCCGTTGACGACAGAAAAAGGACTAAAATTTCAAAAACTTCGTAATTACATTACAGTAACACGATAAGAGGAAATTGCCATAGTTTCAGGATGTATTAACTTCTCCTTCGATACACATATTGTTACGGACTTGTCTAAGATTATCTCATGGTAATTACACACATGGAGTTGTCACAAACACTAAGTATTGTAGTATACACTTATAATTTTACAGAAGCGGCGTAAAACGGGTTTTACAGAGTAAATTTTACCGAAAACAGGAAAACACTGTTTTTAGTTGTATTTAAAGTAAAGTTAACTTTTTTAAAAAATATTGACACAGAAAAGGCTTTGTAGATTTCACAAATAGCTTTGTGTGAATTTTCTACCCCTCCATTCGTGACATGGTTTTGACAGCCTTTTTAAATATATAAATATATTTAATAATAAATAAATGCATTGCGTAATAATTTTTCTTAAACTATTTCAAACCAACTGTAGGTTCTATGTCTCTCATTTGTGTCAAACCCTAATTTACATGGGAATGCGTGTCCAATTATATCTCTTGTAAAGTTGATCCTTCCGAAAAGATACATAACTCACAGAAAACTAAATTTTAAAATTTAAAATGTATAAAGTGATCATATGATCATCAAATAAGATGTTCTTCAAGGAATAATTTAGGATCATATATTGTTTTAACTTTTTTTAAAATTTATCTGAATGAGAATTAATTTGTTTTGCATACAGGCATAATAGCGGACAACTGTCGGCCAAAGGTAATTCGTGGAGGTACTAAAATTTGCTCCAGTTAGAAAACATAAGATGGTTATGAAAAAATGAACTTTCATTAACGTAACATGAAATTATAATATATGAAAACTATATTTGTAGCATATTTGAACAACGAGAACAGATACTAGATAAAGAAAATTCTGATAACATTTGCGTACGTCAAAACCTATCTAAAGTTGTTTTGGGGTGAATACATTAAAACAATCCTTAAGATGAAACAGACATTAGTGATCAATAATACTAGATACTTTATAGATTGAGATTATTATACCACGTCATAAACATTTTAGGACACTATATTATGCATTGTTCTGGTCCACTGTTAAGTATGACTCCATTGCATGACGTGGTGCATGTAATAAGGCGGTGCAAACTTCATCACTTAGACAAAAAAATGTTCAATTGATATTTCAGAACAATGGTTTCTTTTGAATTATAATTTAGAAACCTAAAAATACATAGCATTTTTTCCCTAGAGGAATCATGTATTAAAAACTTCATGGCTGAAAGAGCCAGTGTTTAGATAATAAAAAGAAAATTCACTAGTTCTACTACCAATAATAATAATACAAAAATAATTAAGGATACAATATCATAAATTCATTAGTTGTACTACCTTTAATTGGTTACCTGAAGATTTTAAAATGGCGATTACAAGGCTGAAGAGGACGAAAGACCAAGCAAGTTCATTATTGAAATCCAAAATGGCAATGTAAGATGTTTCTACTAAAATTGATCAAATATAAAATTGAAAAGTTAATTAATTATTTTTACTTAATGGTTGTGGAAATTAGGAAGGTGTTGGTGATAAGATATGCACAATAAATATGAGGTTCATGCGTAGGATACTGCATCTACGATAAATTAAAAATTCGCATTACCTTAAACCTCAATGCAACTTTTTGTTCACTATATTAATGTAAATTGTTGTGCCATTAATTCTGTAAGCTTAATGAATAAATCAAAATTATATTTATTTCTGACCAAGGGGCATCGAACATTTATGGCACCGTGAGTGGGAAACGTTAAAAATTAGAATTGATGTTACATTATGAACCGATAATTATTTTTTAACCTTCGCATAATTATTTAGAGGTAGTTTATTCTTATTCATATATTTATTGTTTTTCAAAGAACCTTAAGGAACCATTCGAGTCCAAGGACGGGCATTGCCCATCCTCTGCCTTCCCGGTCGTTCTTCCCGAAAACGGGCAGTGCCCGTCCTATACTTTTTCGTAGTATTTTTACGATTTCCCAATAGATGGCTATCATGTCTTTATTACGTAATGTGACCTGAAGATAGTAGAAGTTCTTTGCTCAATACCGTCTTCTTAAGATGCTATATCTATGGATATACTATGTGACATATGATGGCTGCCGCAAAGCGTTCGGAATGAAATATTTCTGGTTCAGAAGAGTTTGCTGAGTGGGTGACCCATGTTTTGAATGATAGTGATGAGAAATGCTGAAACATGTGATATACAGGATGCCTGGAGAGGAAACGTCGAAATTTTTAAAAAAAAGCTCTTAAGACAATTTTAAACATTTTTTGTCTAATAAACTACTTTGATATTCCGAATGGTTAAGCTGCAATAAACACTCAAAAGTCTGTTTGAAAAAATGCCTTTGAAGCAAAATTTGCATTGCAGAAGCACGTAAACACTCCAGGAACACGTTAATAGTTTTTTTACAAAATAAATTAATGTATTTGTTCAGAAAGAAAAGCCAACACAGAAATAAAGAAGCATTAAATTTATACAATTCAACTTTTTCTTAATTTCTGGGTTAATTTTTCTTTCTAACAAATATATTCATTTCTTTTGTAAATAGTAAATAATTTACAAGTTTCTGGAGTGTTAATATGATTTTGCAATGCAAAGTTTTGCCCAAAAAGCATTTTTTCAAACAAACTTTTGAGTGCTTATTGAGGCCATCTAAGAAGTTTATTAGACAAAATATGCTTAAAATTTTCTTAAGACCTTGTTTTCGAAGTTTCGACGTTTCCTCCCCGGACACTCCATATATTAGTGGCGCGAATAGTGACGTAAATATTGAAGGTAGTCGCAATATATCACACTGAAAATAAATGTTAACATTTAATTTTTAATAATTGTTCACACACATTAACTAATTACAAACACGTAGTGAAAGTACTATCTCGAAAAATTGAAATAAACAAGTTATGTAAGACAATATAATTATTTTATATATTTATTATTATTTAATATATTATGATATGTAATTTGATACAGTAATATACTGCTGAAATTAATTCGGTCCCAGGGACCACAAACATTTCAAAAAAATTCGGCCATGAATGGGTGATGGGCAGTGTTTCTTGTCGGTTATTGAAGGATAGTATTGTCAGTAATGTGTACGAACGTGCCAGTTAAAACTATCTCTAAACTGACAAATATTTACTCATTACTGACGGCATTGTGATCCAAAAACCAGAAAGAAAAACTCTCCGTGTAGATGCACCTTAAATCATCATGTTTTCTTCGACTATTCCACTCATGAAATAAAAACCAATAGTGTTTAACGATATATACAAAATGTCCCAATCAGCGCGGTGTAACTCAAAAAGTTTATCGCTTTTTCTATCCGATTTTTCTTACCACTTCTCCCTTCTTGTCAATGTGACTCATCCATATTAGGAGGCGGTTTATATCGATCGCTATGTCGATGTCCAATAAACCGCCTATGTATTGTAACTTCTTTGATTTTAACATATGTTCAATATCTGGCGCATTTTTGAACTCGATTGACGTAATTTCACTCGTCGAATAGTCCTATTAAATTCCACTCGTGCTTTGGAAATTCTCAGATAAATCACCTCCCCCTTCGCGAGTCGGGGATTTATCGACAATTTCCAAAGCACTTGTGGTATTACCTATGATAAATTTACAATTGTTACATGACAAGAAAACGCCCAAGCGTTAATGACAGAACAGGCAATTCTAAATTCGTGCTTTCATATTAGTGACGCAAAAGATCTAACGTATTTGTATTATATTTAAGAATTTCAAATTTTAAAATATTTTTAAAAAGGGAGTCAGGCGGACTAACGGACGGACGGACGGACGGACGGACGGATAGGCAGACAAACTGACGGACAGAGAGACTGACCGACGGACAGGCAGACTGACCGTCGGACAGACGATCAGACGGACGCGCTTTGCTCTCAGAAAATATCAGAGCGGCAGTGAACGTTTAACACTAATTTAATGCGAAAGAAGCAAAATGTTGTAGTGCCTTGCCACATCAAATTCATAAATTTATTCCATTTATTATTACGCTGTATTTATATGCAGTTTCTACTTACAAACAAATCAATATACTGTACTACTCAAAAAGCGCGCTAGTAAATGAAAATGTGTTATTGTAGTGTGGCAAATTATTTGTATACGTGTGTTCCTTGACAAAAATTGTTTTCACATTTAATAGCAGTCATTAGTAAAGTCTTATTGTGTGCAAAAGCAAGATATCGGTAAAGTAAAAGAAATGTAATTTTAAGAAGCATATTCATGGCGATGATTTCTCTTCCCTCAGCATTTTTCTTCACGTAAATTAACTTAATGTTGCATTCATTTAATTTCAACTGCTACGAAAAATATTTCTGCAACGCAACTTGGAATACATATGCTAGTTTACAAATGCCAAATTCTTTTCGAAAAACACAATTAAGTCACAGTTTTAGAACATCTTGCTACATAAAAAGTATTTACGAATTGTAACTTACCACGAATTTTCCTTCAGAAACGCTTGTTTTCACAAAATATCATGTGTATTTCACCAAATTTTACGACACAAGCAATGTAAACTGGCGTTCGCGTTAGCATGGAGTATCACACGAAAGAGCATAATCTATCATAAATTTCAAAGAGATTACCAATGAATAGTAAATACTATAGAGATTTCCAAAGAGTAAACCAATGAATAATTACTTAAACTTTGTTGTGAATAAATGCACTATCTGTCCCATAATTTTTAGTAATAAGAATTATTTTAGTTATAAAAAAATGAATGTGAAATTTAAATACAATATATTAATAAAAAATTCTAATTAGAAAGTGAAAGAAATATTAAAAATATAAAAATATTTTTAACATTCACTTCAGGTTATTTTGTGCCTAATGTTAATTAATTCTAAAATATTCTTCATACAATTTTTTAAAAAAATATTCAAAATTTTATACATTATTTTGTTGCTGTAGAAAGAATAGTAATGGATGTTTTAATGTGGATTTTTGTATTTTTTTATAGGCAGCACAAGGGGCTGTTCGACTAGAAGGAGATGTGATCACTGCCAATGGCTCCATCCTCAGTGGCCAACCTGGAACTATAGGAGGTGACTCCAGCTCTAATGAAGATGCAGTTTCTGTATGTAGCTGTAGTTGTTATCCTGGTCGCAGCAGTGGGAGACATCGTTATACTGTACGCAGATCCCCAAGCAAAATAGCGCATTTGCTTCCATTGCAACCTATGGGACTCCCCAGTGCAGGACCTGAAACACTAGTGTGCTCCGAGCTTCCTCCTTTGCATACACATCGCGCCTCCATCTGACACCTAGTGCTGTGTGCCCTGCCCCAAAAGCACACCTTTTGTACAATACCAGCAATTCTTCTGAGGTGCTAGTAAGAAAATATTAGGGACAACCTAGTGATTTGCTGATTGTGCAGTGCCAATGGAATGAACAAATACAAAGAATGGTGTGTCTCATGCTCAGATGTATATAAAACATTACACAGGTTCAAGCATTTTCAATTTTACAATTAAAACTATGTTATTCAATATTTCAAAACATTCTTTCATAGAGTTAGATCAGAAAAGGGAAATACAATTTTCTGAAACAGTATTGCATTAGTTCTGAACATTTCTTATTTGACAAATTGATAGCACATGAGTCCATAGTGGTTTGAGCAACAAAGAAACTAATGACGTTTCATATGGAACTTATTTAGGATATTCCATTTTTGCATTTGAAATCACACTTTCATATTTGACCAGTGCCATAAAAAGATAACAGAATCAATGTCATTTCTTAAATACTGAACCTGTTCCCCATTTCTAACTTGCCCCAATCTTTCATAAATTTTAATAACCCATTTTATGGTGAGCCATTTTACCCATTCTGTAATACAAGGATCATGTGCAAAGTTAAGAATGATGTTCTGGATTAAATGTATTCTTGTGCTTTTATCTTTGAAAAATGCAATCAAAATTATGCTGTCTCCTTATTGTACAGCAACATCTCCAGAATTGGCTAATTTATTTTGGGTCTCATACTTATTTTACTTCAATATGGACTCAAATTTGAATTATATTTTCAGATTTACTTTCATTGAACTTAAGAGACCAAAACTGTAAGTCCTCTTTTAATCCAGAATACCCACATGGACTGTTGGGTGTTAAATATTAACCCACATCAAATTTCAATAACTTCATGAACTCTTCACACACCATACATAGACACACATACACACTCTCAACTGAGTTTTATTATTTGTCTTAATCTTTGTACTAATTGTCAAACATTGAAGTGTGTGATGCATAAAAGCATCACTGAGCAAGTCTGCTTGTAAATAATTATGAATGTGGTCTGACCAATTGAATGATGAGAGCTTGAAGTGTGTCTTACTGCAATAAAGCAGTTCTTTTCTAAAATAACAGTATTGGTGATTTACTTTCACACATATACTGTCCAACTTTTGTATGTTATGCTGTGATGGTATTTTATTTCTTTAAAGCTTGTGACTGAATGTATCTTGTTATTTTTGAGATAAGTTTTGTTGCACAATGGTGGTCTGCCAGAACTCAACGTTGAGTTCTGAGTTGTTACGCAAAAAGCGTGAATATATGTATTGGCATTCAACATACTCCTTAGAAATGACATTTACAGAGAACAAAGCTTTCTAGTTATATGCAAAATAATAACTAACTGTCCTCAATTGGGAAAAACTAAATTCATATTTCCACAACAAATAGTACTTTCACATTTACTCTTAAATCTCTCCACATAATTATTAAGAGGAGACAAATTACTATGCTTACAATAATTTTATGTCAAATTTATTCTTAATTGTAGTTCTACCTGTAAACATTCTGTCACTTGTATTATGAGTTTATTTATTGCTGGCAACTACCACTGAATTCCTAAAAATATGCAGAAATGTCATTTTTTATAAGAACATGGAATAGAAGCTGGTGTTGCCACATGCAGACGGCACTGCATATACACTAATGTCTGCAAATAAACGTGGTGCTGTGAAAATAATTCACTTAAAATCTCACAATAAAAAGACAAAATTTGTGATCAACTTATTGGTATGGATTGATAAATATCTTCCATTATTATATACAAAATAAATAAAATATTAAATATTCTATGACTTATGATATTAATGAGTAATTTTTATATGATGGTAAGTGCAATATACCCTACTGAATTTAGTGCATTGTGGGAGCTACAAACAGTCTTGCCACCCCCCGGATAACGCATGTAAGTTCCTCTACCTCACTTTTCAGCACTACAACACTGACTTTATAATTATTATCATTATTATTCCTGTCCGTTTCACACAGCCTAATGTAGAAAGTAGTACAACAGCAAAAGTCCGTCCTGTTCTGCATGATGGGAAATTTTTCAAAACTTAATTAAGATTGTAGAACTCACATATCATATAAAGGGAAATGCTAGTGACAAATTTATTTTCAGATCATAATTTATTCATAACAATTGAAGATTTTTAAATATCAATATAAATAATATTCACTGCACATAAATAAAGACTTGTTATTGAGGCTTCTGGTGCCATGGCAAGAATTTGTAGACTTAAAATATCATGTAAAAGTTGGGACTGTACTGCATTTCCACTGAGCAATTTTTGTTAAAAAACATGTAACATACACATTATGCTTTTTAATAAATTGCATATATTAAACAGTATTAATAAAAAACATGTACTACATAAAATCATTTCCTCTAAATTAAAATATTTAATTTTTGGTAAGAAGTAGAACACCTTCCCACCTTGGACACAACCCACTGAAAACTTTTCCCCATGTGTCCATAAGGAGAGCTTTTGCTATGTACACATCCATGAATTAATCAACTTATTTGAGGTGAATTAATTTGTACAGATAGAATATGTATATTCTATTTGTTAATGAAGGCATTTGTTTGTAAAAATATTTCTAGTAATTGGACAAATGAATGGCATGCTTCAGACTATTTCACCATGTTATATGACAATAGTCATTAAATATGTGTGATGTTTTTCTGAAGATGTGCTAAAAGAAATTTTCATTTAATTTTTTTAGAAAGCCTAGAATCATAACACCACTTTCAAGACTGCACCAGATAAAGTCTGAGAGCTGATGCTCTCTTTATGAGAATATCCTGCTGCTCACCATACCATTCAATGTACTAGCCTCCAAATCCACAGATCTAACATGCTAACAATGTCTCGAAGATTTCACATCCATTTCTCACATTCACATGAAGAGAATCATTGAGACATTGAGTTTACCAGATTAAAAGCTTAGGGAACGACCAGTTTCAAGATTTTAATAAGTGTAAATATAAATATTTGTAAGGATGCACATTCAGAAAAAATTAATATCAACTAAAATTTTAATATCAGTGCTTCTTTCTCATGCAGTGTGCAAGCACTATAATTCGCAAAATATATAATGTAATTATTATTTCACATTAGGTGTACTGAATTTAAAAGCATAATTATTATTATGATTCTATTACTTACTTATTCAGAAAATGAAAATTCTTCCAATAACTTTACTTACTTTAAAAATATCCCTTATTTTAACTTAGAACAGCAACAGTATGATCTTTACACCAATTTACACGTTACTAACATACTTCTGTCAGTATGAAGAATTTTCACCTTCACTAAAGTTACAATACGAACCCTTTTATTAACTTGAATGGGATAATGGATGTTTTCTTTAATAATCATCATTTCAAAATAAACATTAAACTGGGAAAATTAAGATGATTAGAACTTTTAAAGCAGTAAAGACTAAAGCTGCATACTTTCACTAAATACTAAATTAAATAAACAATTCTTAGAATAACAGGATTTTTTTGTGAACACACAAACCAATGGTCATATGAATATGGTAACTAAGCAACTTTATGAAAGAAATGTAAATTTATTGGTATAATGGAAAATACATAAAAGAGGTTTCACTTTCATGAACAAGCTTTCATGAATAAGCTAACACTGCCAAATGAATTTTTATTAATCATATTGTGTAAAATATTTCACAGTAATATTTTGACACATCAAAAGAATATCACAAGTGACATGGAGAAATCACTAGATAAACATTTCATTTACTGCTTTGTCCTTCTCTTTTCTAAAGGGCAAAACCAAGGTTAACACCTTATTCAATAAAAATAACAGTCTTAAATGAGTAATGTTATCTTAACTCTTAAAATTTAATTTAAAAATTCTTGATCAAACTAATAAGTCACATATTTGAAAGAGCAACACCTATCACTCATCACTCCTGTGCATATTTTAATTACGTGCTGCTGCCAGCAAATTCAGAAGGCATACATAATGCAGATTTACATTAAGTGTTTTCTTGGCAGTATGCCAATGAATGATAACTGCAAAATTGGTCTTTGCCATCATTAATTTTTAGATTATGAAAAGATTCTAATGAGTTTTTGTACCATTTTCTGAATAATGTGATTATGTTATGCAAGGAATGGAAATTTCTGAACCTGGAAACTCAAGAGACATGGCACAGACTATTGATAAATTTATAAATAATTCTGATATCACCTACTCTTTTCTCTATGTGTAAATGTAATATTGTAGCTGTTCACTGAAATTTTGTTGTACAGAGCACACTGCACTTTACATGAAAAGAATTGTTCATAAAAGGATGAATTTATGAAGTTAATCAAATGTTTCTCAGATTTTCTCAAAACCCACAATTAAGAGTAAAGTCCATGTAATGTTTCTTATGGAGAACAACATATATTTTTCATGGCCTTTGTTCTAAAAGATGTATTACATAAAAATCAGAATACTGAATATTTTTGTTTATATTCACATTTTGGCACTTCATTGTACTTACAATATCACTTTCAATCTTTATAGAATGAATATCTTGGGGAATCTGAGAAAACTTGATTCTTGCTTAATGTTGCGTTGTTCTTCTACTTCTTGTTCTTGCTGTACACAAACACAACTGTTCCTCAACAATAAGGTATGACTTCCCATGAATGAAAATGAATGTCTTTCATGAAAACTTATAAATAGTGAATTCGCATTTGCATGCCAAGGCCTCCATGACTAAAATAAAATGGCCAAAATACTGGAGCATGTATATTTTAGTTGTATCCCAGTCCCAAATTTCTGTGAACATGCCTGCCCAGCTCATTCAGTCATGTACAGCAGAAAAAAGAATTTCATCCTCTACAATACATTACATCTCTCAATGAGTTTTGAGAAAACTATCTGTTAATCTAATTTTGATTTTCAGGCAGGAAAATTTTGCCATGTATTTGAAACAGTGAATTGACTTTTGACCCCTTCTATGTATGTCATAATTATGAGAATTAAAAAATATAAATTACAGATGGAGTATATACAAGATGTCACAACAAACTCTCATGATTAGAGACTGATGATTTACACTGAGTCCTACAAATTATTAACACTTATAATTTGGTTTATCCAACCAATGAATGATGACACTTTGACATACACACCAGGTACATCCAGTCGCCCACAACCAAATCCCCATGATACAAGTCCAGCAAGTTCATAGAATCCATCATCTTGACACACTAAGGGTCCTCCTCCATCACCCTGAAATACAAATACAGATGATAAAAATGTCCTTACACCAATGTTCTCATGTTAACAAATTAATTTCAACACAAAAGGTACCTGACAAGCATCATTTCCCTCTTCACCTCCAGCACAGAAACTGCTTGCTGGTAAAATAAATATTTTCTCTGTAACTGCATTTATTTTTCTAATGCATTCAGCATCACTAACAATTGGAATTTCTGCCTCTCGAACTCTCAGAGGAATAGGACCAGCTAAAACAAATCAAGAGCAAATAATCAATGAACATGTTTTGCAAGACACTCGTGTACTGACTTAGTTTTAAATTAATGTGGCTTTTTCATATTAATCAACATAGATTTATTCCTTTGACTTTACAAATTAAATATGTATTCTTATGAGATATTTCTGTTTTCATGAGAATTTAAACAACTTCATTGCAGTTTGTTTACTTTAACTGTGAAGTGAGCCACAAGGAAGATGCAATAAGGGAGAAGAGAACAATGGTGGAAATGAAGAAAATGTCACTAGTGTTCACAAAGATTGTAACTTATGAAATCACTTGTGAAATGTACAGAAAAATCATATAAGTCACCAAATCAGATTTTACTGTGATTTAAGCTCAATTTTTCAAATAATAATTCAATTTAGAGCAATTTGATTTTAATTCTAGGTAGTAAATGCATTGTTATCACAACATTCATTAAGGAATATCCTGTATCTTCAAGACTCTATGGGATCTATTTGTAATTAAAATGAATAAATATTACAAAAAGGGAGGGAGAAAAGGAGAAAATAAGAAATCTTCAGAAAATTTAGCTTTAGTATTCATTCATGTAAGTAAATCATACCTTCAAATTTTACAATATTGATTTTTTAGTCTTGTCATTTCTGTTTCTGAAAAATATATATTTTTAAACCTATATTTTAAAATTTTGTACATTCAAGAAACTTGAAACTTGAAAACCTTCCAACACAAATTCATCCAATCATAATGACTACTTTCACAGCCTTATCTGCCTGCATTAAATTAAATTTAAAAATCAATTTATCACAGTAAAATTATGTAATGATTAACTTGTATATTGAGCTACATTATTTAAAATATGGAGATTGGGATCAGAATTTGAATTTTTAGATGTGATTTATATTTAAATTGACAATAAATAGGACATCATTGAATGGCAGTTCCATAATTGGAAATGGTTTCACCCAGGACACTAATGTACATGTTGTCACTTCCCTCTTTCACCTATATCCTGAACTATTTTTCCAAATCAGCCATATTTTTACCAACGCCATTAAATTATTACTCTTCTCATATGTTTAAGTTTAGTTCAATATAATTTTTGTAGTCTGTGTCTCTAATTTTAAAAGTATTTTTAAGAAACAAAATTATTTAAATGTGTATGGAATTCAGTTAAATTTATCCATTAATGTTGTGCCACTTACGTCATATAAAGTGGTTCACTTCTTAAGTCCAATGCCACTATTGAAAGGTTAATAGTACAGTGAATCAAAAACTAATTAGAATCAATTAAATATTTAAGCAATAAATGATAAGAGAGTTAGATAAAATGACTGATGTACAAGATTCAATGAATATTAACTTTATTGCTTTAGGAGTTATTTTCGCTGTTTCTTATTATACTTACTCTTCATATAATTTTATTGTGTTCACAATTTCATTATTTAAGACTGAATATTATAATATATTATTGAAGATTAGACACCCTTTTTCTGAACTATCTCTTGGTCACCATTATTGAACATTAAAAACATAAGCCAAAGAGCCACTTGGATCACTAAAAAAATATATTTAATTGTTTTTATTTAAAGGAGAATGAAGGGAATTCTGTGTTTACTGTAAGAAATATATGTAGCATACGAGTGAATATATATTATGAGAAGATACTTACCTTCTCCCATGTAACCATATCCTGTAACAGTGCAACGTTTGCCTGCTGCCTGACTAACACCTCTAGCTGGCAAACAAACTAAACAAACACCATCTTTGAGTTCTGCTTGTCCATGAAGTTTGAGCAGTGCAATATCATTATCTAGTGTCTGACTGTTGTGATTATGATGGATGTAGGTAGTTGCTACTCGTAGAGTTTGGGCTCCAGGACTTCCATATTTTCGAGTCAGGTCATGATCTCCAACTCTTACATAAATTGCATCCCCTGACCGTACAATACTGAAATGAAGTAATAAAAAGTAAGATAAATGTTAAGAAAGATAACCAAGTCCATCTGAAGTCTAAAAATTCTAACCAATACTCACTTGGTAACACAATGTGCTGCTGTAAGGACCCATTGTGTGCCAATAAGAGCACCACCACATAAATACTGATTTAATGAGTTAATCAATGCAACTTGCCAACACCATTCAGCTGGATCACCATCTTCTCCACCGACTACACGGCCTAGTCTTGTTTGGGCACGTGCTGTACCTTTGACTCCACATATATATTTGCTGTACACAGGAGGTCTAGATGTTGTTGAACTATGTGTTGTACCTGGAAATAATAAACAAAAGTGATATTTGAAATAAATTGAAAAGAAGGACAGAGAATGTTATATTTCAAAGAATCAGTTTTTTAATATCATTAATAAAGTAAATGAAACTCATGTTCTTTTTCATAATTGAATATTGTCTTTTTGAGTTATAATCAAAGAAATATTTTCTTTTCATATTTTTCAGAAACTTGATGAATTTAATAATTGGTTTACAAGTTTAGAAACATAATAAGCATAGAGAATAAAAGTATGTTAACAAGAAATGAATTTACAGTAAATATATTAATTTTGATTTGATATCATATGGGTGTATGTAATTCAAAACATTATGTCAAATCATTAAGATGTACTAAATAATATTTGAAAAATGTGCTTTTATTTTCTAAAATTAATGCAAAGAATTATTTGTAGCACCTTATTAAGAGGAAACATTTCTGATATTATGCATCATCTATCAGAGAAAATTATCTCTGTGATTGAACGTTGAAATACATGTTTCACATGGCAATTACACTACTGCATCAAAAAGGTAAGATTTAACACCATATCAATACGATAATAACTGTTTTATTTGAAGGTTGAATTTAACAGAAAATTGTTAAAACTGTTGTTAAATTGTTAAATTGTTGAAATTAATTAATGTGTAAGAGACAAACAAACAAAAACTGCATTTTTAAGATATTACATGTAAGTTAGAAATGACAGAATTTGTTTCTAAGCAGATATGAACAAAACTAGTCAAAGCAAATCAAACTCCTTATGTATTGACTTCATGTTGAAAATTTTGTTTTCCAAGACATTCCCTCTCTACTCTGCCAGCATTTATACTAGGCCTTGTCTCTCATGAAGTATCCAGCAACTTGTTCAGTCACTTTACTTCTGAATAATATAAAGTTCTAACTTATTTATTAAGTAAAGACCCCTCTTGAAGCCATGTTGTTTCAGACCTAGACCTTAAACCAAATAGTAGTATCATGATATTTAACAATTTTCAAATACAACACTGCTGAATAACATTTTAAAGTAAAAGCATACAATTTTCAATATAAATTGCAACTTTATATTATATTGATTAATTACAATTTATTTTCATTTCGACGGTCATAATTTCCTTGATGTTGTGATTTCCAAAGCACTCATAGTATTACCTATGATAATGTGATCTTAATTAGGTACAGTTAACTTCACAGCATTTTCAGGGGACTGAAGAGAAAAAATGTACAAGTGAGAAAAAGGCTTAACTGAAATTGAATATTATGAGCAAAACAAAAACAAATTTTTCATTGATGCACCTTTCTCTTGAATTTGTTCAAAATGGAACTGTTACCAATGATTCTTTTGATATATTTAGTCAAAGAACAGTAAAAACAGGTCGTTATGTATGGGGGAGAAGTATCATCTGCACATATTTTCTTGAGCTCCAGAATCTCTTCCGAACATTTTAATTCTCAGCATTGATAATAAAATTGCAGATTTTTTTGTATTGCTTATGAAATAGTCCGGCTCTTCTCCTACCAGTAGTAGCAAAACGTGAGCAAAACTAAATGTGCACAGATTGATGCTACATTTATGACCAGTAGCAAAACACGGGGCAATCTTAGCATTTGGATGAAGGAAAGCATTTAGCTTAATGGATCAGGGAAACTAGACAAAATCCTGATCGAGACCGGTAGCTGAAGTATATTACTTGTTATTTAGAAGACGCGCGGGCCAGACCTAGAGGCGCCCGGTGGAAAAGATAGCAGTGATATTCGCACTTTATGCAGCTAGTCCTTTAGGTATATCACACTAGCGTTGCGTTGACGCGCGTCACCTAACCCTTTGGCTTCAGCTGCGTCAATACCTGCGCACACGAGTCGTAAAAATAAAAACGTAAAACGCAAATCTGAAATAATTTAGCAGGAGAAGTATAGGAATGTATCCGGGACTTACAAAAAATAACGTTTAAACGTGAAAAATCATATGAACGGAGTTTCACTGCTATTAGGAAATGCTCTTACTATTAATTTTCTCCTTGTTTCACCTAGAACCGTGAATGATATTTACCCTATATCAAGGAAACTACACAATGGAATGACAAATATTGAATGAAAGCATAAGGACATCTGGGACAAATCCATTAATTTAACATTTTATAATTATTTAAATTATTTTTAAACTTAAAATAAACAGGTGTAATTGCACTTAGCACCCAGGGGTGTAGGTACGCTTAGTTTCCTTTTGAGTTATGTAATGCTGCATCGAAAAACGGCGGTTTTTCGGCAGAAAAATTCGTATTGTAGATCCCTAATAGCGAAAAAGTTGATAAGTCTCGTCGTAAATGGCATTGTCTAACACGTGTGTAATCAGAATCCACTTTGGTAGGTCCTTGGTACCAAAAAACTGGTTTATAGCAAAATGTCTCTGTACGTCCGTATGTCTGCCTGTGAACAATGCTAGCGGCTAAACCGTAAGCAGTATTTTATGATATTACCCAGTCGATCTAGCTGATGTCCCGGCCCCTTGAATTTGAAACCGATGTTTTCATTTTTGGGGGTACTTTACATGAAACCTCAAGGACATTTTCAATTTTTTCTCAAAAAAGGTTCCACATTTTTTTTATTTAACTTTGTCCTCTGATACTGTAAAAGATGCTTAAAAACTGCAAGACTGCATTTCATTAAAATATTTGTATTCACAAAAATTTTAAAAGTTCAAAACTTTTTTGGACCTCTTCCTACTTCAGTATTGAAGATAGAGATTTTTCATCTAAATAAAATCTGTTTTTAAAAATTACGTATTTAAATGAGGACATATACATATTTTCCAAAATATGAAGAATTTTTTGAGTAATGTTGCATGCAATAAAGGCAATTTTAAAAAGATTTTCTCAAAAAAGAATCCCAATTTTTTCTTGAAACATTAATACTAATAGTGCTACATGCATAGAATGATATGACGTAAACGATATTGATAAATTCTTTAGATTTTTCGAAAATTACACAAATGTATTTTTTATGGGCCACTAGCATTGATAATATGGGCTTCTTTTTTTTTTTATTTTTTTTTAACATTATTGATTCTATGAGTACAATTGCTTCAAATGATTTCTTATGAAGTTTCTCTACAACTATTTTTTTCAATAAAATTAATTACAATACACATCTGAGACACAAGTGTCTGCTTAATCTGATACACAAGTGTGAAAGTAATCTTGTCCTCTTTCTTCAGTTCCTACAAACTGGAAATATTTCAAATTCCTTTTCTAAATTGTACCAAAAGCTTCAAATATCTTACAGATCAGAACCACAATATTCAAAGTTATTGTAAGTATTGCCTGTCCTCTTGGAAATTTTGAGACTCAAGAAGGGAAAATTTTACAACAAATAATTGATCCACTCGATCAACACCTAATGTGAATTTTATACTTATGAAGCCCACTCTACGAAATGTACCAAGTAATATTTGCATGTGTATCATATGCTGTTCAGCATGTATGAAGGAAGTAAATTGAATTGGATATCAAATTGTATGTCTAATTTTATGTATGACTGTATGTATTTTGAATACATGGATATTTGAAACAGTCTCTGTTACATAGGCTGTATCTGAAGATGGAGTTTGAGACTAGTGTAATATCTTGCTTTAGATTAAAAGGGTTACACATTTACAGTGGTCGAAGACAAGACAAGAGACTTGGTTTCAAGAAAATATTTAGAACCTTTATGAATTTTAGACACCGCTGTTGGAATCACTTTCTCAGAACCTGCATAAGAAAAATAACTGAAAAATGTAGAAAAGTCACTCGAAACAGAGTAAGGTAGAAAGTATTTAAAATGAAGCAATATCAATTTTGAAATCCAAAATAGCAATTTTCTATTGCATTTCCTACAAAGCTTTCAAACATTGATCAATATTCAAAAGCTTAAAACACATGGAAAGCAATCAAGTCAACTGGGAAATAGGAACTTGCAACATATCTAGCAAACTTTTAGAATATGATGATGATGGTGATGATGATCATCATGATGATGCTATTCTAAAGTAATTTGCCAACATTTTTTTTTTAATTTGAACAATATTAAATAATTTTTATTCTTATTCTCTATGAGATCTAGTATTTCTTTTAGATTCTTCCATTTTCATTTTAATTGTCTCCCATATTTCAAAGTCAATTTATTATTATCATTCTCTCATCATCTCTCTCATCTAAACAAATTTGAAACAAATTTTACTCTCCCCTTAAAGTCTAATAATTAAGGGGTTGAATTTGTGAAAGCGTGAAAATGCTTTAACCTTTCAGAATACTCAGTTTTCTCCCTCCTGTTAGGTCATCTTCAGTTGCTGCATACAAATTTTTAAACTTTTTAAAAAAAATTGAGATTACAGTAGTGTCTTAGTGAAAATCATCGTCTATACAAATGTTGTAAGGATTGAAATTGTGATAGAAGTGAGTACCAATAATTTATATATTCATTGAGTATTAGACAACCCACTCTACTTCAAAAATTTGCCTACATGTTAAATTCTTTGTCTCTGATTATTTTAAGCAATTACAGGCAGCTATCAAGAATACATGGCATTATGTCCTACCAAGGACTTTTGCCGACTTGTCCATGCCATGTCAAATTGCATTTGATAGCTCCAGGATGTTGCAATCAATAGTAGGTATGGCTTTTAGATTTGGGAACAGATATTTGATAACATGGTCCATTCTAGCTTCAAGCGCTTTAGGTACGAGTAAAACTTTGAAGTGAGCCTAATATTAAATGAATAAATTTACTTAGTGCTCTTTTTACTCTTAATTTAAAGACATACAACAATTATACAGACAGTGTTTTTGATAGCATTGGTTGTTTTTGAGATTCTGTTAAGTTAATAAAAAAAATTTTTTTGACAACCTATCTGTATGCTATGGCTAAAATTCTCTTAGCAGGAGGAAAGAAACTTAGTAAGTTCATTTCAGACTGTTCAAATGTGCTGTTTAAAGTAATTTCCAGCTTTCCCCTACAGTATCTAGGTCTTCAGTCATTGGGCTATTATTGCATGACAATGCACCAAATAAGAATATTGAAAACTTTAATTCTCAAAGCTGTTAAGAACCAAAAGTAGAACTTGCTATTTAGTAAGAAACTATGAATTAATGAATTGTTTATGCAAAGATTCTTGTAGTACAAATAACGATGTTGATTATCACAATCCTAATGCTTTAAGATATATGATAATGACTTCGCCTTTTGTACAAGAAATCCTGAAAGTACTTATATAATTCATAATTTTTTAATTAAAAGTACATACTTGGGCACTTGATAACTTGAGAATTCCAGTTCTCAATTGATTATTTGAAAATAACCAGGATGTTGTCATTGCATAAATGCCACAAAATAAGTGTTCAAGACATATTCGAATTATTCAATTGCAAATATAAATTTTCTTAAAATCAATGTAATGTTTTTAGATATAAAATGATAATTTTAATTTATTCCCATTGATGTCATTTGTATTTTTATGAAATAGTTTTAATTATACATCTAATGACAATTTATTTTTTCAGTTTGTGTACTTAGTTCCTTGATCTTTTCTGAATGGGTCTACCACAGATGAATACAAGTCTCTAATATTTATAAATGTACAAAATTCTGCAATTTTGATTATTTTATTAATAAATATTTATAAATTAATTAATTAGTTTTTCCCTTCACAAATCAATGGAAATGAGTTTGTTGTGTTAGGAAATGTTTGGAACGGGATAGGATGCGAGTTAAATGGGATGGATATTATTGGGAGAGGTTGGGGTGGGATAAGACATGGAATGGAATGGAAGGCAACTGGATCAGGAACAATACTTTCAAGATTTCTTGCACTTAAGAAGGAACATTTTAAGAAGAGAAAGTTATGTAATGCTGCGCAAACAAACGTCGAAAATCGGCAGAAAAATCTTATTACAGGGCTCTGGTAACAAAAAAGTGGATAAATTCAGTTGCAAAAGAAAAAAAAATCCTCTAACGCGTGGAGTAGCCAGAATCCATGTTTTGTGGGTCCTTGATACCTAAAAGTAGATTGACGGCGAAACAGTCCGTCAGTCCGTCAGTCCGTCAGTCCGTCAGTCCGTCAGTCCGTCAGTCCGTCAGTCCGTCAGTCCGTCTGTGAACAACGCTCGCGGCTAAACCGTTGACAGACACCTAAACCGATTTTCTCCAACACTGATATTCCCCAATCGATCTGATTGATATCGTGGCCTCTTGAATTTGAAACCCATATTTTAATTATATATTTTTTTGTATTTTACATGAACATGGAACATTTTCAAAATTGTCAAAAAATGGCGCCATCGATTTTAATTAAATTTTGTTGTTGCATAGTCCAAAGAACGTTTAAGAGAATGGCACATTTTTGAAAATATTGGTATTTTTTGTGTAATTTCACGAAAAATATAACAGCCCGCTCGAATTGGAACGCTTCGACTTTGGCGTCTTCTTATAAGTGCAATTAAGAAAATAAAATTTTTTTATTGAAATATGTTGATCAAAAATAAGTCTTCAAATAAGGTCACGTTCAATTTTTTGAAAATATGAGGGTTTTTTTGTTTGTTTTTTTGTAATTTGGTGACAAAATTAAATGCCCATTGCCCATTACTACGCTTCGTGAACGATTCCAGACAGTTGGAAGCTTTGTAAGTTACGATTTGTACATTCATATTTATTTGTTCGTTTCTTACACTTAACTTTTGTTATACATTTACACATTAATCTTATAAAAAATATTTACAATCTATTTGAAATATATGAAATAAAAATTGCTAGGTTTCAGAGAATATCAACAATGCAGGGAATACGTCAATGGAATTCCGCCCTCACGAACTCCTGTGAATTACGTCTTATTGTTGTGAATTGCTGTATGAAAAGGAGTTAAAGTTGTCAAAAATCTTAACGTGAAAAAAGATTACTTTTTCATTTTTTTTCTTTCGTAGAGATGTATGTATTTCATATACTTCTACAGTTTTATTCCGATCTTATTAATATTTTGTACATTTGATCTTCAAGAAAACAAAAAGTTATTACCTGCGTGTGATTAAAAAATACAACATTCATATACCCCTTTCTATCATTTAGAACTAAATATAAGTATGAACTCTTTCAGGTTTTTTTTTAGAATGTTTTGGAAAGGGCGAGGAAATCCATCAAAAATCATTGAGCATTTCTTGGAGTTCATAACATTTTCTTCTAAATCTTTTCATATTATTCCAAAGGGCCCTTACACTTGGGTAATTGCAGGTCAAAATTGCAACTGGAAGTTTGCCAGGAGAATGCAGCATGTATCTATTTAGAGACAGTAGCAACGACGGTGGTAGCAACTTGAGTGTTAGCGATCATAAAAGAGTAGGACGGGCAGGAGCGGGGCCAGGGATGGAAGGACAAAATGTGGACGATGGAACGATGGGAACGAGCAGGGTGGATTTGACCAAAGCGGTGCAGGGCGGTAGGGAGGGGATACTATAGTCAGAATTCATTTCTTTTCCTAACTAACCGATCAATGTGATAAACAAAATACCCGGGCAATACTAGCCATAAATACAATTTCTTGTATACCAGCGTTATATACGACCTTTTCTGTAGCAAGAAATCGTTAAGGGCACACAATTGGGCGATGCCGTATTAGATTTTACGAATGATTGCGTCATCACACATACGGCCAATTGCAGCGAGACAATCATGGGGAGGTATAGGTAAACGGAACAGCCGACCATCGTTTTCTTGCACAGATGTTAAATACGAGACATCACAAGAAACTTGTTTCGCAAAATGAAGTTTGCTTCTCTTAAAAATTTATAATGCTGTTTTACAAAAAATTGCGTATGCAACTCGTTGCTGATGTTGCTTTATTGCATTCATACTAATTTGAAAATTCACCCCTAACGTCGCTCGTTTTCAAAACACGTAATCACGCAATAAAGCTTAACAATAGTAGTTTATGCAATTAGAAACTAATTTCATAATCTACTATTAAATGGTTCCTAACCCATCTAAAGAAGCATATGAGATGATAACAGATGTATCTTTAAATCACAGACACTCCAGGTTTATGTATATAGAATATTGATGCTACATACCCCGAACAATTACATGGAATATCGCAATCCGATATTTCCACAACGTGACCTTATATGTTCGCGCATGTGCATATAGAGGCACGTCTAGGTATTCAGGTGCTCAAGGCAAGCATAGAATTTGCGCCCCTGTCAGCTTAATTAAAATTAGAGTGGTTGGTTGTTTTAGCGGGTATATTCTAAATAGCGCCGCTTGTGAGTGGCGTCCATGGCACGTGCCATGTCTGCCATACCGCAGGCACAAGTACGACCGGCTCTCATACGTAGTGCGTATTCGCTGTCCAGTTTCGATTTGTATCATAACTCTCTCCATAGCGCCTTGGTGAGCAGGGCAGACGGCACTTACCGTGCGGCCTGTGCGGGCCGAGGTGCGCGGGGCGGGACGGGTGCGTGGGCCTGTGGTCTCCTCCGGCCACTGTCTCGTTCCGGGCGGCGCCGGCGGCGGCGTGTTTGCCGCCGTTCAATTCCGCCTGCAGCTCCCGCACCAGCGTCTTGGGCGCGCAGCACTGGGTGCCTGCCTTGCGGCACTTGAACAGGTCAGACATCTCCGCATTGCCTGGAAGCACAGGAGGCGGCCCAGAGTGAGCAGAGTTCGTTCTGACGAACTGGTACATCGTCGTGTCAGAAGTAGGCAACGTTTCACATGCATCGACGGTGCACAAGAATAGTAAAATATCTAAAAATATCCTTTTATTGGAGAACAATTTAGAAATCTACTGTTTAATATGTATCTAAATAAACCAAAATGTATACACAACCCTTCAAATGGGTTTGTTCGTATAGTTCTATAATACAACGAGCTGGAAATAAATTTATTATCTAGATAAAATATCACACACTGCTCAAAATATTATATCTTTGTTAGATTATGACACTTTGTCTTTCTTTTCTTGTACAGTGTTTTTGACATTCAGAGACAAAATAATGGAATAAGTAAAATAAAAAAACACGTAACCTTCGTTTTTACAAAGCATTATTTATTGTTCTGTTCGCTATTTTACGAATTAAATTAACGAAATAGAACCAAGACCTCAAGGGGGAAACTAATATCAAAATAATCTACCTTTGATAAAATACTGTAGGTATAACTTCCAGTCACAATTACTGAAAAAAATGAATTAATATTTCGGGCCAACACATTTTTTATTTGCCGCGAGAGTACAAATGCATGATGCTTGGCTTGTGGGGTTTACCTAGTCCGTTTTTACAGCCTCTTTATGTGACAGGGTCACTAGCAGTATTCCATGGCTATCTTTTATTAGTTCATTTTCTTAGTTTTTCTCGAATGATCTAAACATTGCCCTTCATCATAAGACGTCTTGTGTTACAGTTAATGGGGATAATATATAATATACATCATCAGTTGACTATTTTCAGAAAATATTTCTTGATTTAACTAAGAAATTGCATTTTTAGATGTACCACTCTCCTGTGCACCGGTGATGTGATACTTTCTGCTGAGAAAACTTGGATCAAGCGAATATCTTTGGGCCCACGAGTTTGTGGGATTCTGGAGACTCTCGAAAGGTAGATCCATTCATTACGATTTAATGCTTATGTATCCAGGAATATTTATAGGTCATAATCATTTTTCTCTACTCATTTATGACTACTACCTGAATGATTAACCCGCTTGTAGCCTCAATAAATGCTTATTTTATCTCCTAAATCAGAGATTCCCACCTTTTTTCGTCGACCTCTTTTAAACGAATTGTTTGCTTCATCGCCCCTCTTACGTTTTTTTCCACAAACTCCAGCATCCACAATCATGATACAAAGAATTGCACAGAATTGCATTAAACACAACCATTTCGTAATATTCTCGTAAATGTCTCTATATTTAATAATCAAAGACCAGTGAAAGAATTTCGTTTTTTTAAGAACTGGCCATTACATTTCTCCAGACCGTATTGCGAAGGGTAATCCTGCGCAGTAGAGTAAAGTTGTGAATGCACGCTTGTAATTTCGTCACTTTTCTAAACAACTTAAGTCATGAGTATGAACGACGGACACGAAAGAAGAGCGAATTTGTAGTTTATTATCACGTTTTGTTACTTTTATCAGAAAAAATAATAAAGTTCACTAATAAGTTTTATAATCAGTGGGATACTGGTTATTTTGATCATGCGCCAGCTCGTATTCGACTATTGTCATCCAATAAACCCGTTAATCATCATTGACCCCTTCAACACACTTCAAGGGGTCTGTCCCGAGCTCGTTGGTAATCCAATGAACGCCTGGGGAGTACTCACGGAAGCATGTGAAGGAGAGGTAGGAGACGATGCAGGAGCCGGGGCAGTCGGGCCGGTCGTCGGGCGGCGGGGGCGTGGTGCTGGTGGTGCTCTGCGGGCGCGGGCGGGGCCGCGGCGCCGGCGGCGCGGGGGCGGCGGCGCTGGCCGAGCGCGTGTTGTCGCAGCACACCGAGCCGCGCTGGCAGTTGGACGTGTACGGGATGAGCACCAGGGACCGGCCCGCTCGCACAGACCGCCGCCATATATGTTTGAGCAGACAGAAGCCCGGGCAGCGCGGCAGAGTCTGGAGGTGCTGGCCAGCACGGCGCCGGGGTCGGTGGTGGGGGCGCGGCCGAGTCCGGTGGTCGGGGGGGGGGCGGGGGCGGCCGCGCGGCGCGGCAGGCGGCGGCGCCGCCGCCGCCGGGGCCCGACCCCGCCTCGGGGCCCTCCGAGATGCAGCACGTGCCCTCGTCCGAGCACGTGGCCTCGGCGTCGATCGCGTCGCAGAACAGCGCGAAGAACCTGTCGACAGGGAGTGATGCCTTGAGGGACTCCAAGAATATCCTACTCAGATTGTGTCTATTACCAATTATTAAATAATGAACATGTATAACCAATACAAATATAAACTATGAAGATTTTATTTATAAATTTAATATAAAAATGTTTTACATATGTATGAACTAATGAAATTGTGTTTAAAAGTAATTGGTAGGGCTCAATTGAGCGCGATCGCTAAGCAACAGATTCGTCTGTTTATGCCTTAATTCCTCTTGAACCAGTGATATGTTCTCCTCATAATTGTTTCGTAAAAAACGATTGAAAGTTTGTTTTCAATTTTTATTTTATGAAATTATTGATAAAGCTCATATTTTATGAAAGATATTGAAGGATTAAGCTCCATTTTCCTTCCTGGTCTTCCTCTTTTTTCTCTCACACGACTCTTGTTTGATTAACTTGATTTGATTGACTTAATTTGCTCACTGACTATTTAGCTCTTCACAAGTTGTAGTTTCAAGTATGTTATTATTCATTATTATTATTATTATTATTATTATTATTATTATTATTATTATTATTATTATTATTGCTATTATTATCATTATTTTGCTGGAGAAACAACCTATTTTACATTGAAGATGACTTTAGGTGTTTACGTAGTACATATAAACATTTTTAATTCTCTGTGTTTTATTCATTTAAGTTCAAAGGTATGGTATCTGCTTTCTTGTGCCTCTTGCTTACAATACGAATTAAAAATATTTTATTATCTTCCATAATTGTCGTTATAATAAGTAATTATATTTATATTATTAATTACATACTTATTGTTATCCTGAAAATGTGTCCGCATTTGAACCGTGAAATGTAAATTTTATAATTTTATCAAATTTCCATAGGCAATTCATGGCTATGAGTTTTGATGGTCTTTAATAAAATTAGGGAACCTTCCATCATTAATAGTAAGTTTTCTGTAAACATAAATCTTTTAAGGTAGGGAATGATTTTGAAAAACAAAACTTTGTGGAAGAATTTTAGATGAGCAGTGTTAAAAAAGAAGAAATTGATTAACAAGTTGAATTCAAAACTTGATTAACAAGTTGAATTCAAATCAAGTAAATCAAGAAAGGAAAAAAGTTGAACATATATTTTAATTTTATGATTTTTTTTCTATTTTACAATACCGGGTAAAAATGAGGGAGGAAGTCCTCGATACATGTATGGCTCACACAGTAATCATAAAAGTTAATTTACCTATTATATTTGTCTAATTTAATTTGAATTAAAAGTTTGGTTAGAAGAAACTGATTGAAACTCTTAGACATCTTTCTTAGATTTTCATAGACTTCTTAGCTATCCATGCAAATAATGAGGAGTAAGCGCACATATGTAATACTTTCTTCACTTTTTATTAAGTATAGGCACATCTAACACTAAAGTATAATTATCTCGTTAATGTTAAATTAAGTACATTAATTTGTTTTCAAAGATTTTGAGGCAACGTCATGTACTTCTTAATCACATTTCCAGTCTAAACGAAAAATGCTGTTTTCTTCACGTCTCTGAAATACTCGATTATTTACTTGTCAATAGGTAATGTATTTACCTTTCATAATGTAAATATTTTCGGAACCAATGTGAAAGCGAATATCGTTCGATCAATAGTAGAGAGCGGTTGCAGAACGCTCATTTCATTTTAAAGCGACTTGTTTCTGCTCGGAAATCGTTGCGCTGATGAACCGATGGGGCAAGAGAAATGTTTATTAGGTTTGTATTCTCGGAAGAACATTCAATTTATTGGGTGATTTGTGGAAACCAGTAGCAGACACGCACAAAGGCCTTTATACATTTATACTTTCATACGTACACGAAGAAGATTATATTTTTGTCAACTCTTTTGATATGCTATTTATAGAATTTTGATTAACGCATAAAGTGCAACCATATTTTGTCATGTTCGTAAGGAAGCTTTGATGTAAAAGCATATTGCAAGAAATTTCTGTTGCTAATTAACACTACTCAGTAATTATAAGAGGGACTGAAAATGACAGGTAAAAGAAATAACTAACAGTAATGAAATATTCGCGATTAAAAGTAGCCACTTTTACTAGTTAAACAAATTAGAACATTTGTTACTACTTAAGAATGCAACTCAAGAACAAATATAACATCAAGAAAAAAAAACATTTTCTTTTCAAACAAAGTTTTAAAGATGTCGTAGAATGTGAAATAGAAGGAATGATTCAAAATAAGTATACGTACTTGATAAATCTGCAGCAAATAGCGCTTTATTTACTGATTTACACTAGTAGTTTACACACACACTGTAGTAGTCGTAGATTTGACAAAGTTTGTATTGTTTACTTCTCACCAAAGCTTAATTAAAATACTACAAAAACTACGTGGGGAAAAACGAACATGAATAACGATTCAACAGCGACAGAAGATTGGATTTTGAATTGCATCTTCTGAACGTACATGTTTTACGTGTTTGTAGAACTTTGAGTGTGGCTTTCTTTGTTATTTAACTTACAATTTGCGAGCAAATTCTCTACCTAAATGTGTCTATTTTGACATTGTATTCGTAATAAGTAATCTTCGAGATGTAAGTGCAGCAAGTTTTTAAGTGAAAAAATGTAAAACAGAAATATTTTACAGAAAATTTTACAAATACGTAAAATGTCCATACCGATTAAGAATAACACATGCGGGATATTGAATTTCAAATTCCTATTTCTTTACTTCACAGATTGTTTTAATAAAGATTTATGTGTAAAAAAAATTATAGACTGCCTCACAACGGCCAACCTAAAATACACAATTATATATTACACATGTCCCTCTTCTGTCATTATATTATTAAATACAATATTACTAAGATACGTTTAATGTACGTGTAAATAAAAATATCATATAAGTGTAATATGAAAAAATGAAAAAAGAAAGGAAGATAAAAATGATAGAATTAATTACTTGTTCCATAACCACGATTTATTCATTTTGCTCACACCAAAAATGATGAACAATACGAAGTAAATGAAAATGATGCGTAGTGGGAGAAACTGAGACCTCAAAACATCTGCATTGCCTTCCCCATTTCTTCTGGCAGTGACCATGATTTATCCATATTCTGAATTGGAAAGAGAAAACTACATGGGGGGTAGCGTACTCTGAAGGAATTTCCAACCATTACAAACTATACAATAAATGTTAATAACAGAAAAGGAATCAATTAAGGAGTGTCAAGATGTAAATGAGAATTCTATTGGGAGGAGGATGGAGGTCGGAGACCTGAGAAAAAGAAGTGTAAAGAAGAAAAGAAGGATGGCAAAGAGGAAGGAAACTAAGGAGAGAGAATTGTCGACGAAGGAGAAGAAAGAAAGGACGACTACGGAGAGGAGAATGTGGGTTACGACTAAGAGACGGATGAAGACGACGGCAATCGCTCGACGACGAAGTGAGGAAAAGCGTCGACGAAGAAAAGTAAGGCGACAACAAAGAGGACGGGAGGGAGGAAGAGAACTAAGAAGAAGTGGTCGGCGATGACGAATAACAAGAAGAGGAATGGGAGGAGAACAATGAAGAGAAGGAGGATGATGACGAAGAAAAGAGCGACAAGCAAGAGGAGGAGGATGAGAAGGACGATTAAGATTAGATGAAGGTCCAAGAAGTTGACAAGAAGAGATGTGTGACAAATAGAAGGCGAAGAACCACGAAGAGAACATTCAGAATGAGGAGGAGAAAGAAGAGTAGCAGGCCGAATGACAAAAGCCAAAGCATACGCACCCGCTGACGCACTGTCCGCGGCAGGGCTTGGGCGGGCGCTTGGGCGGCTGCGGCGGCTGCGCGGGCGGCGGCGCGGGCCGCGGCGTGGGGCGGGGCGTGGTGCCCGCCGCCGACGCCGCCGACGACGGCCGGCTGCCGTTGCGCTCGATCACCACCAGGTTGGGCGGCAGGTCGCCGTCGCTGTACACGTCGCGCGACACGCAGCAGCGCAGGCCGGCCTTGCACAGGTCGTCGCTGGCCAGCACGGCCTCGCAGTACTCGGCGATGCGCTCCGCCACACACACGCCGGGGCACGACTTCACTGTCGACACACGCCGCGTGCTCACTCGCCCGCCCCCCGGGCCCCCGGACGCACGCGCGCCGGGCCCCCTGCCTCGACCACTTTTTGTGGGCTCAACATGGGACCAGTACGCTCACCTGTCGATGCACTCATTCGTCCGTCGTTTCATTCATCTGTTAATGAGCTTCCCCACTAGCGCCTCCCATTCAACATTCATTCATTCAAACATGCATCATTCACTATTCATTCATTCACTATTCATTCATTCACTATTCATTCATTCACTATTCATTCATCACTATTCATTCATCACTATTCATTCATCACTATTCATTCATTCACTATTCATTCATTCACTATTCATTCATTCAAAGATGCATCATTCATTCGTCATTCATTCGTTCACATTCATTCGTTCACATTCATTCGTTCACATTCATTCGTTCACATTCATTCGTTCGTTCTTCATTCGTTCGTTCTTCATTCGTTCGTTCGTTCGTTCTTCGTTCGTTCTCCATTCATTCATTCATTCCCCATTCATGCATTTCTCATTCATTCATTCCTCATTCATTCATGCCTCATTCATTCCTCATTCATTCATTCTTCACTCATGAATGTATGCATGCATGCATGCATTAGTCATTCACTCGCTCGTCTCTCCGTGACTTCATATATTGGTTTGTTTGTTTATATTCGTGTATTTGTCAGTTTATCTGTCTTTCAACATGCCTGTCCATTCGCTAGTTCACTCCTCTATTAATTCACCCTCTCACTTGTCTCTATCTTGGTTTACCATTCAGACTGTTCATTCATCACTCCGATCGTTTATACGTTTTTCCGTCTCTCCAATCACTTGCTAATTTTCAGTCATTCGTACATGCATTTGTCGTTCGATTCATTCGTTCACGCACTAGGCAACATACTTCGTCATTCATAATTAATGCGTCTGTCTAGCCTGGTGTTGATACGTTATTTGGTCAAGGGTGCTTCCACGCGTCCTACAATGCGCTCATACCGTTCGTATGTTCGTCAGTCCAACATTAAATCTGTCCATGAGTTGGTCCATCAGTGAGTCCATTCATCCATGCAATTATTTGCATGTCCGTCTGTTCGTCGTTCGTGTCACTTCTACTGTGTAGATATATCCTCCATTTGCAATTTGTAATTGCTGGTTTTCATCTGTTCGTCCACGATTAATGTATATGTCCACTCCCTGTACGTTAGACAGAAGGGAATAGTCTGAAGAAAACACGCAAAAATTGATTTATACGTTGAAAAAGTAATAAAACAAATTCAGTTTTTATACTCCGATTAACATGTGTATGGGATTGATTGTTCACTAGAATCAAATGTCGAGCTTTAACTGTAAATTTGTTTGTTAGCGCTTCAGGTGTTTGTTAATAAAAAATACAAATTCAATTACATAAATACTTGCTTGAAAAGGACTACATTTTTTAATATGAATTTGTTTAATTACATTTCAAAGTATAGGTAACAAATATATCTCACTTTTAAGATATATAGCTATTCAATTTTAGAGTATTTTAACGAATATGTATAAAAGCAGTTATCACGTAAAAGAGTTATAATGTTGAGTTATGGTATATGATAATAATAATAATAATGATAATAATAATATTTTAATAATATTATTAATATTATTATTATTATTATTATTATTATTTTCGTGTTATTATTGTTATTATTTTCTCACTTGAAATTAATAATTCCTAAATACGTAATAATGATCAAAAACTGGTCTTCAAATGTATTTATTTTGTCAACTAATATTCTTTTGCATTTAGTTATTATTCGTAAATCACTATCCTAAAGTTTTTAATCTGCAAGTTCGTCATTTTCGGCTATTTTCGTGAAAATGCAATGTTTTCTTACAAGTGGTCTAATGAAGATGTACTATGCAAATGCAAAGCGTTGAGAAGTTGGAATTTTACTCACCAGACTCTTCTTTGTGAGAACCTGGTTTGGTTTTCTGTGGAGGATCAGGCGTCTGAAAAAGGAAATAATTAAATCACTAAATTGAAATTGTACATAATAGTCAAAATATGACCACCGTATAAATTCTGAAGTGCTTTATCGAAGGTATAACAACTTTATAAATATGAACAGACGAACGATATTTTATGCATGCAATTTTGTTCACTACCTTATCAGTATTATTGGTGCTGGTGAACTGATAATACAGTAAAATATATACTAAAACAAAAGTAACTACATTCAAAAGGCTAGATGACTGGCAAAAGATAACTCGATTGTGACAAATATTTACCCACTCGCAATCGTTTTTATCCTTTTGGTTCATCAACATCTTCTAAGAAGTGCCATTAATGAGGAAAGAAGAATATCATTATTTAGTAAAATAAATGCAGATAAAATAAGAGTGAGAATTTATGAGAAATATCTCAGAAGGTTTTTTAGTATTAAGTAAAATGTTACGACAACAATACTGTAAAAACCTTTTCTTTTCATGAAATTAAAGAATCTTAATATCAATGAAGCTGTACTTTACTGTTATTGGTATTAATTTCGGGTATCTTTTCGAATTAATATCATAGAATCTCTACACAAAAGGAGTGTTAAGATACAGTGAGTGTACAAGCCTAAGCCTTTGGCGACAAATCATAGGAAAGAGTAAACCACATTGTCCAGCATTAAGCTGAATTACCAAATCATAAATACATCTTCGACATTCGAATCCGTGACCACTCGGGCTTTCGGACGACCCTGAATAGGCATTCTCTACCCGAATATAAGTATTCCACATTATAGAATATGTACTAATCAAACGAACATGCTCTAGGAAGCAGGAAATCAAACAAGCATTAATTGGGAAAGAGGAAATCAAACGAGCATAAACTAGGAAGCAGGAAATGAAACAAGATATACTGCACAAACCTAAGTCTTTGGCGACAAATCATAGGAAAGAGTAAACCACATTTTCCAAAGCATTAAGCAGACTTGACGTAAATGTATCTTCGACATTCGAGTCCCTGACCTCTCGGACTTTCGAACTACCCTGAATGGACATGATCTACCAGCATATAAGTATTCCATATTATAGAAAATGTACTAATCAAACGAGCATAATCTAGGAAGCAGGAAATCAAACAAGCATAAACTAGGAAGAAGGAAATCAAAGAAGCATAAACTAGGAAGAAGGAAATCAAGCAAGTATAAACTAGGAAGCAGGAAATCAAACGTGCATGAATGTGCCAGGAGAGACAGGTGGGCCATTAGTTTGATATAGAACCCTTCCTCCGTAGAAGCACTGGCGACGTGAGGCTCGCCCAGGGCGCGAGGCGCCACAGGTCCCGAGGGCTGCCCGGCGGCCCCGACGGCCTGACCCGGTCCTGCGGGTGACCCGCCCGCCCGATTATAACGGTGCGCCTCCGCCTCGCGGGCGCCCGCACTGGCGCGGCACCGCCTCGCCCACAGAAGCTCACGCGGCTACCGAAGGCGCCGGCCGAGCTATCGGATTCACAGAAAGAACGTTACGAACAGGTTGTAACTACAGGTTGAACGTGGATCTAAAATGATCACTTTTGGCCAATGAACATGTGGTGGGAATTTTCATACAGTGAATTTACGGATCTGACGTTTGCCCCTTATTGTTAGGCAACTCCTCAAGCACTAATGTTCGGCAGGTCGCGTTCTGTCTAAGTAAAAGCAAAAACTATATAGACAATGCAGGAGACTTTGAACCATTCTCGTACTATTAATAAAAGGCAACTCTTAACTACTGAACTTGGAGACTTGACCTGGAAAATCAGCGACTACTTCAATTTTCTCTTCACAAACAAAATCTTTTGGAGCTCCTTGGCTTCTAATAAATCTGTTATTTACATTATTATTATTATTATTATTATTATTATTATTATTATTATTATTATTATTATTATTATTAATATTTTTATATATATAGTTTAAATTTTATTTTTTGTACTATGAAAGTAAATGTACAATGCCACAAGCAATACTAGACTTAATTTTATAATATAATATCTGCATTTCAGAGGAAAATATTAAGTATTTACATAATAAACACTTACAACACGAAGTCTGTAAGAACGTATATACTTCTTGACTTACAACTTCTCATCAGGAGAAAATCGAAAAAAAGAATTCTACTAGTTTCATAATTTGTGCAATCAAACAGCTCACACCTTCCCAGCCACATCAAAAAGTTACTAATGACCAAACGAAAATATTTTTATCATTCTGCGATACGTAAATACACGCAAAGTTAAAGTAAACAAAAATATCTTTCAATCTTATACACTTCGTATTCGATATAACAATAGTTATGAAAGGTCAGTCACTAGGGGCGCTAGCTTCAAATGTCTCCGTTATACCGCAAGAGTGTCATGTGTTGTCTCTATAGCATTAGGTAAAGGTGATTTCGTGTACCTGCCGAACCCGATGGATGCAGTAATACGTAACAATCAGGAGCAATTGTTACATTTGTCACATTCGCACCTGCTGAACACCCAGTCTTCATTTCGAGTATTTGTCTAACAATAAGGGACACGTCATATTTGCAAATTTCTATGCAAATTTATGTCTTTATATGCAAATTTCCCCCATATGTTCATTAGCAAAAAGTTATAATTTTCGATTCCCTCAACGTCCCCTAGAAGCTTGGACATTTATTCTATGACACTCTGTACACATAAAGAACAGTAGCACCGTACGCAGTAACACCCCCGAGCCTCACATTGCACTTATTCACCACGTCAAAAATGTTGATTTTTATTTGTTGTACTACTCAAGACTACAAAGGTTTAATATTGCCTTTAGAAAGCACGGGAACTACTTTTAATTTTGAGAATCTATTTAAAAATTCAACCGTCTGTTGAGTTTTGCTTGTCCTAAAAACATTGTAGACTAACTTGCGTATATGTTTATTTACACCATTCTTTCGCAGCCATCGTTTTTGTCATTTTTCTGAATTTAAATTACGACCTTCATTTCTCACATTTTTCAACAGAATTCTGGGCTAGGAAGGTCGTTATACGGAACACCTGTAAATACATTAATATTTAGAAAACAAGAGACTGATTAATATAAGAAGACGGTGAATGAAGTTCTTACTCCATAGACGCTTCGTTTGTAGACATAATACATACAGCTTAGATCCCCTGAAACGTTGCAACAAATAATTTGCGTCAACTAATTCTCGACTTTTGGCATTTGGTTTAGTTCCGATTACATCTTCGTAAAGGTCATCAAATTTATTTATCTATTTATTGATTAGCGATTTCGTGCGCATACACTGCTAAAGTTATTAGTTCCGTTAGCGTAGTGTATTTATTATCGAGGGAGATTGCGGTCATCTTTCCTTGATGACTGGCAAGATCCATGACCGTACTATGTCGGTTTGCGGGGATTTTTCTCAACCAGGTGCGTCCCATTATCTAGCGTCTTACGACTCTAAATGTATGTAAATTCAGTGGTTAGGCGGAAGAGCAGGCCCTATGACCTGAGCCTCGCCATTAATAAAGACATTATTATTATTGTTGTTATTATTATTATTATTATTATTATTAGCGGAACACCGCCCCAGCCAGAAAAGCTCTTCTTACAAGTGAAATGGTGTAGTGCATGTAAATGTAAGTGTAAGTAAGGGGGAAGGATGGGGCAAGGAAGAGGAAGGAAAGATCGAGCGCGGTCCGTGGCCAGTTTGTTAGGGCACTCCGCAGCATTCGCCTGGTGGTGATCGGAGAACCTATGGAAAACTACCAATCTATAATTCTTCTCCAGACAGCAGCTGACATCAAGTGTCGAAAATCCTGCCACCGTCGGGATTCAAACCCCAGGATCTCCTGTTCGAAGACTCTGCAGTGACATCAATTGATGCCATGCGCTACCTTTTCCGATCATGCATTTTTAGATTTTGGTTAGAGGATGATATGATTTTAGACATAAGTATTGCTCAGGGTTGACAAGAATACCTGTCAAAACTATTAAATCCCTCCACGTCCGCGAAAGAGTAGTTGCGGTTTTCACCAACAGAGTCGTTACGCAACACTTCATTACTTGGCGCTGGCATACGAGTATAAGCTACCAAGCAATCGCCTTACCATCCTGCACATCCTGCATCCTGAACACATCCTGCACCATCCTGAAGTAAAGCATAATTGCGGTTCCAGGGTGGATATCGCCGGGAACATAAAGGGTTTGTTGTTTTAGTGGGTAAAAATCTCACACTGTTGAGGAGTGCGGGCTCCTGTTCGTCTTGTTGAAGATTTCCACAGTACCCCTCGTAAAAAAATGCCCGTGCCGCAGAGTAATCGTCACGGCATTCACCTGGCGCATCAGTTAATTCAGTTGTGTTCGGGGCCGCAGACGAACTATCTCGGTACTCTGCGGCCGACATTATTCTCCAACGAAACTCGCCCTACGCCAGTCTACATGCTCAGGGACCGTATCGAAGTAGTGAAGCGACATCGATGACAGAACATCGATGTTACCAATCATCGATGTTCAGAATTAAAACATCTATATAAATAATACATCAATCAAAAACCATTGACGTTTTAAAATATCGATGTTTTAAAGCTGAGTTCGTAACCTCTAACATTACATGGGCGCGTAAGTAAATTTAATTTGTCGGAGGTAATGTTTATTAACTTACAATAAAGGATTAATTGAAAAGAAAGTAAAATGTTGATAATAAGTAAGTATGGACATCGCTGAGTCTCAAAGCCCGAGCGCCCAGGGTCGTCTTAAAAGCGTGTCCTCATTTCCACGAAGATGTGGGGATAAGGGGGAAGTCCCTGCGTCCACAGCGAATGCGTTGCCAGCCTCTCTGTGAGGAAAGACGAAGATAATACTAGTCCATCTGGGCCATTTTTTGGAAGAGAGAGAGAGAGTCTGCTCGATTAAGGTATCGGGAAAGGGGTCTCAGGGCATCAGTTGATGTCACTGCAATTCCTCTGATCGGGGGGAGGTCCTAGTTTCAAGTTCCGACGTTGGCAGGATTTTCGACAC